TATATATATATATATATACTGTATATATATATACACACACACACACACACCAGAGGCTGAGCCACAGTAAACGTGGCATGCATATATATATATATATATATATATATATATAATTTTTATATTTAACAATACATATAAGCTAACAATTTTAAACCATCATTTTATATTAATAAAATTGCCAAAATCACTGCACATAGCCTCAAATGTCATGTGGTTTCCTGGAGGTGTTGCTTCATTTGTCTTATGGAAGAAATGACTGCAGTAACTGTGGCATCTTGGCAGAAACTCTGGGCACCATGTAGCAACTGCAGATTTGCGTAAAGGGTGTGTTATTTCCACCGGGTTTTCTCAGGCAAAAAGATTCGGACAGGTTTAGAATTATTTTCTTTAAGCAGTAAATTGAACAGAAGATTGAATCTCATATCTCATCAGTCTGTTTGAGTGCATGGCTGCATTAGATGCGTGTGTGTGGCTGCAGGTGACAGGCTGGATTACCTAAACAGCCCTAATGTGTCACCTAATCACCTGCTGAGACTGACACACTCTCCCTCAGTGTGTGTGTGTGTGTGAGAGAGAGAGGAGCGAGGTTTGGTTACGGTATAGTGATAGCACCAGCTGAAAGAAAGAAATGAGAAAAGATATTTAAAAAGAAAAATAGAGGTGCAGTGTTATCCTCTAAGCAGCATCCACGCACTTCTGATATGTTTTTGTGATCTTGATCATAAGAGATGCTTTGGATTTTTTTTATTATAACATTTTTTTGTAAAGAATGGTAGAGTTTGTGCTTCTTCTCAAGTAGCGAAAGGATTCATTCAGTAGAAATAGGTTTTACTGACCAAGAACAAAAATAAAGAGTAAAAAAAAGACGGAAACCATATCAGACCAATCTAATGCTAAGGTGTCACATCTTGACCTTGAGACTCTCTTTCAATATATTTATTTTCATTTATTTCTCTTTTTTGTACCATGCATCAAACCAGTACCATAGTATTAGTAATAAAAATAATACTAATACACAGTATAAAAATAGAATAAAATAAAATAAATGTTCATTGATAAATTATCATTAACCAGGCATTCAATGCACTAAAATATGTGCTTAATGCTGTGTGCTAAGGTAAACTGGGTTAACCAGGCATTCAATGCATTAAAATAGCTATGTGCTCTAGGTACTATCACATCATTGCCTTTCATTTCAGAACAAACACGCCTCCTTTTTATACAAATTATGCTTAATATAGAATGTTCCTTGTTCACAAAACATTTGCTTGCCAATACTGCACTTTTATCGCCTACAGAAAAAAAGAAAATTTCATTTAAATGTTATACATTTTCTATTGACCATTGCATCAAATGATGGAGAAGAGTGATTTAACAAGGCATATGTCCAGTGTGCTGTAAGTTACTGTTAAACAATAATAAGAATTGCTTGTTTATTTATTTAGGTCATCTTAATACAAATTAATAATTTTACATACTACTT